ATATATTATGTGTTGCGAATGAATATGGCAAGTTTTGTGTTTTTATTGATGCATTTTCATCGAATTTATTTGTAAAATCATTCAATTTGGGTGCAAAAATAGTCGAGGTTTTTTTAGTGAAAGAAAAAAATACAGAAAGTGAAAGACATTTTATTGTCTGTGAATCTGGAAAAGTTTTTGAAATGCTGTTAAACGAAACTGATAATTTAAAAAACACAATTAAAAATATTGAACTTGTTTATGAAGTGAATTGTGGAGTTGTGACCGATGCATTAAATGATGAAGAAAATCAATTATTGTATTTAATCAGTCAAATTGGCGTCGAAATTATATGTACTACAACCAATAAAAAAACTTTTGTTCATTTGGAAAATATTATTTCATCGTGCTTAGTTCATAAACGTGGTATTGTTGTTATAACAAAAAATAATAAAGTGTTTCAAGTTGTTAACAACAAAATTATAGAATTCAAATTGAGCGGTATCACAACAGGGAAACTAACTTGTGTTGCACAAGACACAAGGGGGAAATTGCTGTTTGGTACTTCAGTAATATAATTAAATAACATATATTACTTCATTTTAAAGTTCATATTTTATATTTGTTTGGTACAATAATGTCATATTTGTTAGTTAATTTTTTTATTGAATATAATTTAAAAACAGTTATAAATTTAAATAAACATTTATTTTACAGTCAAAGGCGTCTATTTGTCGTAATTATAATTGTCGAAGTTGCTCAAATGTCGCACAACTAGCCAATCATTTAAGCTTACGACAACTAAATATTTTGTTCTCGAATCTGTAACTTTTGTTGAATTAAAAACTAATTTTTTTATAAAAAATAAATTTCAATATTAAAAAGAATTTTCAACACAATTCACTCATTTACGACAAATCAAGGTTCCGTTTTTCTGCTAGATTCACGACAAATAGACGCATTTGACTGTATCTAAAAAACAAAAGAAATAAACTATTGATTAAAGTCATTCCGAACAAGTGTGTAACTTTATTTTTTCTTTGTTTTTTACTCACAACAAAGGGAAACCTTATTTTTCAACAATAACGAAAACAATAACCAAAAGTAGAATTAGGTTGTAAATTAACATAAAATATTACCCGATATTTTAAATGATAATTTCAACTGCTTGTTTTAATAAAAAACATTAAAATTCCAGAATTCCAATTGTTATACAGAACAAATAAAACAGTGTTGTATATCGATTGTGGATAACGCAAATGTTAACATCTCTTTTATAAAATAGAAAATAATGAGACAAGCCAATTCGTGTAATTCAAAGACTTTTTTCGCTACAAATTTTGGTAAACATGAGACTGTTGAATAATAATACCCAAAAAAAACATTTGAAAAAAATGTGCAACTTTAGTTGTAATTTAATTATGGTATTTTAATTAGAGTAATAATTTTGAAGAAATTTGTGTTTTTGTGTTTTGTTTATTAAAAACATATAATTTTTATTATTATAATTATACTATAAACAAAGTTGCACAGTTTAAAAAATGACTTTATAATTGAAAAAACTATATGTATAATTAGTTTTCTCCATCTTTAATTAAAAATCTGATTTTTTTTAAGTTTTATATTAAAAATAAGTTTTTTTTCATAAAAACAATTTCTGGATTTAAATAATTTTGGCAGTCAACTTTATGATAAGCCAACTAAACAATAAAAACTATAATTTAAAGCAAATATAATAAGTATTTATTGTTTATATTATAATTTATTTTTAATTTGAATTTATTTTATTTGATTCCAGTTTAATTTAATAATGCTTTAAAATTGTTTTATTTTTATTTTATTTAATTGTATACAAGGGTTGAATCTGTTTAGTTTTCATAAATTATTAAAATTTTAACATTATTTTTTTTCTTAGAAATTTGAACTCTAAAAATAAACAAAAAATAAAATGAATATCCCTTTATACATTCTTGTTTTGTTTATGTTCATTTGTTCAACATATTCACAGAATTGTAGCTTTCCAAACACGATTTTGGCTGATATTAAGGTGTCTGAAACGTGTACCACATTGAATGATATTACTATTGGTAGTACAACATCTTCTCTTCCCATTCAGTTTGAAATTACATCTGATGCATATATTCAGATAAATGGAATTGTCACCTGTAAAGGTAATGGCTCAATTGTACAAATTGGAAATTCACGTTTAAACTTGACGCAAGAAAGTTACTTTTACAATTCATCGAAAATGGAAATGAATGAAAATTCCAATTTAACAACATATAAAGAAATGTTTTTTCAGCAGTATTCCAGTGTTTTAATTTGTGATTTAGCTTACTGGGAAAGTAATTATTATATTACATTTAAAGAATATTCACAACTAACAATTAAAGACAACGCCTTTTTATTATTCAACTATGGATTTAAAACTAATGACAATGTATTAGTTGTTATGAATCAAAATACACTACTAAAAACATTTAAAGATGTATATTTCAATGACAATTCCACGTTTACAATGAACGACAATTCAACAATAAATTCCACCGAGTTTTTAGACGTCAAAGCGGCAACTTTGGTAATGAACTTGTATTCGAAAATAAATGGAGTTAGATATTTATACGTTTATAATAAAGGGTGTGCGACCTTAAATAATTATTCTGAAGTTAACATTGATTCTTATAAAGTTAGTGTTGAAAACGGATATTTAACACTGAACGACTTTTCGAAATTGAACAATGTTGTATTTTTTCTTTGCTCATAAAGGTGGTGTTATTACATTAAATGGAATTGCAGATTTTGCACAAATTACGACAGAGTCATTAAAATATGGAAGTTGTTTTTCATTCTGTTCTAAAAGTGAGAGTTTCCTATATACTGGTATTTTTAATGTAAGTGGAAAATCTTCCATCAGTGTGAGTACTGAATTTATGTTTATTAATTCATCAATTGTTGTAAGTAACAGAGATATCAGAGATCTTCCCGTTGTATTGTATTCAGGTTCAAAAGCATTAAATATATCAAATTCAACGATACAATCAGATACTGATTTTGATGTTATGTGTTCACAAACAGTAATTAATGATAAAACTTTAGCTGGTACTAAGATGTTATTAGGAGGTAAATTAATGAGATATGGTACTTCTAATAAAATATTCTGTCACGTTGAGAGGGTAACAAACGGAATTGTGAAATACACTGAACCTTACTGTCCATGTGATCACACAGAAGACTGGTATATCACTCCACTTCAAAACGTGACCTCGTTATATATTGAAATAAATTTAACTAAAACAAGTCCAAAAACACACTTAAAAAGAAGTGATGAGTTTTCATCTGAAAGTGTTACAATTGGAAACACACAAATTTCATTTTACAAAAGTGACAGTGTAGTTCTTGGTATTTCAACACCAAAAATAGTTGATATTAATTTGTTTACATTGACAAAGACTGTACTTATAGTTTCAGAGACAAATTTGACTTTTGAAGGTGTTCAGTTTAACGCAGCAATAAACACAAAGAACGGGTTTGAGTTACTAAAAGTTGTTATACGTTGCAGCAATGGAATATACAATAAAATGTCTCAAAAATGTGAAGACCCAACAATCTGCGATGACGTAAACTGTAAGTATTGTCCAATCAATAAAAACAGTTGTATTTCATGCAAAAATCAATATTCTCTTGTCAATTCAAAGTGTGAACAAATTACATACTGTGAATATTCAGTTTCAAATAAGTGTTTGAAGTGTTCAGTTGGGTTTTCATTACAAGATGGGTTGTGTGTAAGTGATACAACTTGTTTACTTGTTCAATCAGATGGGAAGTGTCAAATATGCAACACAAACAATGGGTACATTGACAACAATGGCGAGTGCGTAAAAGGTGATACTAATGGTAATGTAATAACTACCAACAACATTGTATCCTGCAACAAAGGTTTTGTATCCAATACAACAAAATCTATGAAATGCAATGATTTATACACAAATTCAGAATTATGTGAAAATGGGAAAGCGATAAAGTGTGACAGTTCAAGTAAAATGAACACAAATGGAATGTGTGAAAAGAATGATTGTGTACGTCCAAATGACCAAAACGGAAAATGCACAACAACAATTGATAATTGTATATATCTATCAAAGGGAAAATGTAAAGAATGTGAAAGTGAATATATCTTATCTTATAATACATGTAACAATAACAATAAACAAAATTGTATTGAACAAAACAGTTTTGGGTGTTGGAGGTGTGAAGACACTTACTATCTCGATGAGTCGAAAAAACAATGTGAAAGATGTGACCCAAGATGTTTGACGTGTTTTGAAACATCAACAAAATGTCTCAGCTGTCCACCTAACACGTATTTATCAAATTACAATTGTAACACAAATGAAAACTTAGAACTTACGTGTGACCAGTTTGCAAGTTTTGGAAGCGGTTGTGTTGTGTGCAAAGATGGGTATTATAGAACGGGACTTGATTGTTATAAATGTGATCAAAAATGTGGGACATGTTTAAATCTAAATAGTTGTCTCACTTGCAATTCAACAAATTACAAAACAAATGGCGGTGACTGTTTACCACAGAATGATATCGTCGGGTGTGCTGTGAATGTCACACAAAATGGGTGTTCAAAGTGTCAAGATGTGTATTATACGGTCAACATAAATGAGTGTAATAAATGTGATGACAACTGCAACACATGCACAACAACAAGCAATAAATGCACTTCGTTTCTTAATTCATTTTTGTTACTTGCAAATGGAAGTTGTGTGGGTCTTTCACAAATATCAAAATGCAATAAAATCACAAATTCAAAATGTTCAAAATGTTCATTTTGGTACACCCCAAGTGGTGATGGCACGTTGTGTAATTCACAAGCTGTTTGGTGGGTCATACTTGTTGTAGTTTTGTTTGTTCTTATTGTTTTGATAGTATTGATTGTATCACTTGTCATTGTAACCAAAAACATTTTCAAAAAATACACACACAAAATCAATAAAACAACAACACTTTTTAAAATGAACAAATCGAACATCAATTTTGTCCCTCTTCAAGGTGGTGTCAGTGTTTCTTCAATTATGATAGACTTGAATTTAGACATTGAACAAATTGAAGTTAACAGAGAGACACGGCAGGTGTTGTGTGTTGGAAACACAAGCAAAAACACTACCAAAATACAATTCACAATTTCAACGAACATCACAAAGTTTACGATTCGAGTTGATCCAGAGGTTGTCACACTTAAAAGTGGTTTTGCATGTGAATTTTCCGTATATTATGTCAAGCCATTATGTTCTTGTAAAATTAACAGTACAATTCAATTAGTTTCCAAAAATCTTAAAACAAATGAAGAAAAATACAATGAAATTCCACTTATTGGTGTGACACAACAGACAGCTCGAATTGATTATGATGAATTGAGTGAAGACAAGAAACTTGGTGAAGGCTCGTTTGGTATCGTTTATAAAGGAAGTTTTAGAGGAAATATTGTAGCTATCAAGATAATGAAAAGTGTTTTAGATGATAATAAGTCGATGGATGAATTTGAGAATGAAGTGTCTATGCTTGATAAATTTAGGTGTGAATATATTGTCCATTTTTATGGTGCAGTGTTTATTCCAAATAAAATATGTATGGTTACTGAATTTGCACATTATGGCAGTTTACAAAATTTGATGAAACACAAAACAAGTGAAGAAGTTGACATCAAAATGAGGTTGAAATTTATGAATGATTCAGCAAGAGGAATATTGTATCTACATGATAATGAGATACTACACAGAGACATTAAACCAGACAACATTCTCGTGTTTTCTTTCAATCTTAATGACAAAGCAAATGCAAAATTGACTGATTTTGGGTCATCAAGAAATGTCAACATGTTAATGACTAACATGACATTCACTAAAGGTATCGGAACACCAATTTACATGGCACCTGAAGTGTTGAAAAAGGATAAATACAAAAAACCAGCTGATATATATTCATTTGCTATTACTATGTATGAAGTGTTTGGATGGAAAGAAGCATACTCAATACAGACATTTAAATTTCCATGGAAAATAGCCGAGTTTGTAACAGCAGGTCAACATCTTGAAAACAGAGATAATATTCCAGGTGTGTTGTTTAAAATTATTCAAACGTGTTGGAACCAAAATCCAAAAGAAAGAAAAACAATTAAGAATGTTGTTGATTCACTTAATTTGGTAACAAAAGATATTTCAATCAACACCGTGAAATAAACTTAAACATTTAATTTAATAAATTCGTTATTTTACGTTTATTACATATTTAAAAATAAATATTTATTTTATTGTTTACTTTAAATAATTTATAATTAATAAGAAAAACATATGGTCATTAAAATATTAAGAATTTTAATGTTTGTATTTACAAAATTTATCATTATAAAAACTTAATATAACACCGTTGTTAAAAAATTTGTACTTAAAATGAGATTTATTTATTATATACATTTTTATGTTTTGGCTTGTGTAATGTTATGCACTTAACTATTTTTTTTAAAACGTTAAAATACTTAATAAAATTAAAATTTCCTAAATTTTAGACATTTTGAATTATGTTCGGTAATTTCAAACATTAAAATAAAAATTGTTTAACAATTATCAAAACCAAATGCCAACTCGCTAATTTTTATCGACTCTTTTTCTTCAAAAATGATGTTCTCAATTGGTACCGACATGTAAAAACAAAAATCGTCGACTTTTTTCACGCTTTTTGGCACTTTGATTATATCAACCTCTTTATATGTTCTAAAACACTGTTCAGATAATCGAACCACTTTATTGGGAATTTCTCCAATATTTTTACCGTTTTCTTTGTACAATTTTAAATGCTTTTTAATATCACTTTGTACAAAGATAATGTTATTGCATATCATTGATTTGTTCTCAAGCATACAAGAAACATTGTACGACACTAGAAATTCGACAATTTTGATTTTTTCTATTCCGATATAAATTTCACACAAATTTGTGCACTCTTCAAAAGCTGTTGGAGAAATAGTTTTAATTGGATTTGTGAATGTTACTCTTCTTAATTTTGTGCAGTTTTTGAATGCCAATGTGTCAATTAAAGTGACTAAATTTGGTATTTTAACGTATTCAAGTCGTTCACAATTTCCAAAGCAGTTACTTCCGATTTTTTCAACGCAATTTCCAATTGTTATTTTATTGAGAGACGAGCAATTTTTGAATGAACTTTTTTCAAGAGCAACAATACTCTCTGGTATTGCAATTTTCTTTAAAGAATAACACCCATTGAATGTCCCATTGATTTTAAAACACTTTTTGTTACTTTTTAATATATTAACTGTTGTTAAATTGAAGCAATAGTATAACAACATATAACACTCTAAACCACTTTCTGGTATACACGCGTTTTTAAGTTTGTAACACTCTGAAAATGCAGTATTTCCAATATATGTCACTGTTGTTGGTATTGAAACTTGAGTCAACCCACACCCACTGAAAGCCAAAGACCCAATTGATTTTAAACTTTCTGGAAATTGAATGTTGTGAAGCGAAACACAGTTATAGAAAGCTTCTTCACAAATAGAAGTCAATGTTGATGGCAAAATTATTTCACTTAAATTTTCATATAGATAAAAACATGAATTTGCAAAGTTACAGACATTACATGGAATGTGACACTGTAATAACAGAAGATTGTCATTCATCATATTAAGTGTCATTTGAATGTCATCACGATTTTGGAATTTTTCCAATTGTTGATAATTCACTTCCACATGTGTGCATTTGATATTCATTGTATTCAAAAGTCTCATTGTGTCAATACTCACAAGACCATCAAACGTCTTTTTACCATTTAAATCAACTTTTTGTAGTTTGTTGCATCTTTCAAAAATGTGATCTCCAATGCTTGTAAGTGTCGATGGAAGTGTTACCGAAGTCAAATTTGGTCCAAAAATATTGTTTCCAATAACTGAAACGCAGCCCAAGTTAATTGCTTCAGAATTACATCGACTAAAAAAATTATTACCGATACAAGTCACATTCGACGGGATTGTTATCGATTTTATTTCTTTTTGTGGAAAAAAGAGTCCAGAAATTTCAACGAATGAGGTACATTTCTTAATTTCCTCAAAATTGCTTAAATCGGTTATTTCTGAAAATATGAATTCAACAGTGTCGTATTTGTATCCAAATTTGTCCTATATTTTTGTTTCTTTTGAAGTTGGAGTAAATTTAATTTTCATGTTGTTGTGTGGAAGTTGCAATGTGTGAGTGATGTGCAATTTTCAAAACACCCTTTTTCTATTTCTGTGTTATTACTAATTGAAATATCTTGAAGATTAACACAATTTTCAAAAGAGTGGTCAGATAGCCTTGTAACTTTGTCAAGTCCGTATATTTTGCGAATTAAATTTTTGTTTTCAATTGTAAAACTATCGATTGTATCAATAATTAGAGGCAGAATAATAAACTTAAAGTAAATTGATATGTTTGTATGAAGTTATTAATTTGTTTAAAAGATCATAATATATCTTGAAAATTAATTTAAATCATTTTTAATCAGATACTTTCCATTATTAATGTAAAGTTTAATTAACTTATTATACACAATCAACCTTTATAAAATTAATTTTAAATGATATTAATTTGTATTAATTTATATATGTATTTATCAGTGTACATTTTTATTTATCAGTTAAATTAAATTGTTAAATTTAATAGTAATAAACAAACTTCTTGGCTTAAATTGTTATAAATAACTTTTCCATATTCATCATTGTAGGTATCACAATCAAACTTATCATAAAATTTAATAAAAATTGGAATTTCTTCTTTATAAATTTTGTGAATAACTTTTCCTTCAATATTTGGTACCACAAGTTTTGTGAGTGATGTACAATTCACAAACGCTTGTTCTTTAATAGCACAATTATTACTAAAAACAAGTTCTTTCATTTTTATACAGTCACTAAATGCTTCTCTGTCAACAAGACACACACTTGCTGGGATTTTGATCACTTCAAGTTGTCTACAATTTTTAAATGCACATGCTTGAATGTGTTGTAAATTATCAGGAAGTTTTACATTTGTCAAATTTTTGCAAAAAATAAATGTTGCACTTGATATAATCTTTACATTTGGTGAGATGTGAATGTCTCTCGATTTCTCACAATATCTAAAAGCATCATTTTCTATCGAATATATTGATGAAGGCATATCAAATGTTTCAAATCCACATTTTTCAAAGGCGTTTTCCATTATTTTTGTTATTGAAGATGGAATATGTATCGATGTTAACGATAGACAACCACTAAAACAGTTTGTTGGAATAATTTTAAGACCTTCAGATAAAGTAACACTTTCAAGTTCATCATAATCACTAAAAGCGCATTTTTCAAGGTTTGTGATATGAATTGGAACTTTAAAAGTGTCAAAATAAAAAGAGTTAAAAACACGAGAGCCATAATTTCTAATGTTTGTGTTTTCCATTAGTTGAATCAGTTCGTCTTCTTTTGTAATTTTATCAGTGTCCTTTACAGTAACGTGAAGGTTTTTAAATGTGATATTAGGCTCTTTTAAATGACTATTTGCATACCAATTATCAACTTTGTACAACACAACAACGTGTTTTATTTCTGGCAATTTGACATCTTTCTCGTTATATAAATACTGTGTTTCTATATTTGGAAATAATTTGGTGGAAGTTATGGGTATGGGATTGTATCTAAATCTGTCTAAAATACATGAATATTTTTTGCATACAAGAATCATATTAATAAAATCATCTGCAAAGAAAAAGTGTTGAGCAACAATTTGTAAATGATATGGATCTAACTTTTTGATCATTGTATATTATTTTGAGTTGTATTTGTTTAGATAACTTTTTATATTTTATAATTTACTAAACTTACCATTTTATATGGTTTATAATAGTTTAAAAAATAAATATCTTTAGGTAATTTTTTTGTGTTTTTTACTAAATTTATATATAATTATATTCTATTAAAAATTTATATATTATATAATCAACATTATAAAGATATATCTGCCACAGTGTGGATGAATAGTGCTTCGCACTTATTTAACTGATTTTTAACTGATTTTTTTCCTGAAAAAAGAAGTAATTATTATTGAAAATAACGTGAAAAGGGTTTTATCAAATTGCTTTTTTATATATATAAGACAACAATTAGGAAAAAATAAATGGGAGCCGTATTAGATCGATTTACCGAAATCGCACTTTTGAAACTAAGTACATCAACATTTTCTATAATATGATTAACTGAAAAAGTGTATACAACAATAATAAAATTGAAAGAACTAAAAATTTTGAACCAAAAAGTAGTTTAACAAAAAATATTAAATTAATAAACAAAAATGTTTGTATTATTCAAAACAAATAATTGGTATTTTTTATGCTTAAACAAATTATCTAAATTTTAAATATAAAGGTAGTCTTTTAATGTTATCCGGTGGACAAATAAATAGTAACAATTTTATTTAAACATTTCACTTAGTAAAACGCAAAAATAAACAATTAAGATATTTTTTTGTACAACATCCCGAAATATTTTAATGATCTAAAAGGTACATGATAAACTTTAAATATAGACTGTAGATTTATTCACAACTCGTATATTTTACATCATAACCTCAAGTTTAATTAATTCATAATAAAACATAAAAAGGTTGTTCAGGCAAACAATTTACAATTAATATATACAATCACCATCACATTATCATTTAAACAATATTGCATATTACATTTAAAATTTTAAAACAATTGTTAAACATGACATGATACAAAAACAAATAAATTGAAAACATTTGATTATTTATTTAATATAACTTTTTATATATCGACATTCATTTAACGTTAAATTGTGAATATTATTTTTAATGCTCTTTGTTTTTAACAGAGCAAAGATGTTCACTAAGTTCAATACATTTGTAATAACCGGTTTTTCTTTATGAATTTGGCAAAAATATTTAATTATTATGAATTTAAGGAGTAAAGACCAATAAATCATTAAATGTAATAATTCATTTATATTTGAGTTGTGTTTTCAATTTGAATATATAATATCATCAATATATTATATAAAAATTGGTTTAAAATTATATCATTTTCATTGTTTTTATGATCATCCAAATTTATGACTTACCCACAAAATATAATTAGTTCAACATAAAAAATTGAATTAACAAGCTTTATCATATGTATTTACATACTCAAGTTTCACAACTCAATGAAAGAATTAACATTTTTTGATTCAATTAAAAATTCATAACTATATATCATAATTTAATATCTCATGCATGTATTTGTAAGCTCCAAGTCAAAAGATAAAAATGTGGTATTTTTTAATTTTAGTGTTATCATTTAAAGTTTTAATTTGATATTACATATTTACATAGTTGATAGTTATTGCTTTTTAGGCTGTTTTTTAAAACAAAAAATTAGCAAAAAACAATTATTTATAAATTATTGTTTATTAAATAATTTTAAATAATAACAAATATATCGGAACTACATTGACCACCACCACTCCTTAAAATAGATTTATTTTTTATTCGAATCATATTCAAATTAAAATTATAGTAAATAGGAAACTGGGATAATATTAAATATGGTTCCCAAATTCAAGAAATGCCGAAAATTCACTTTGAGTTAGTGGAATCTGAGTGAGACGGAGCATTTATAAGAAGGCTCATATAGACGGACTCAAACAGTCTGTTTGTGCACCGTTTCACCCACTTTCCAATTCCTCCCTTGGCGCGGATCCCCTTGACCCCTGCTTGCGGGGGGGGGGAACCACATCCACGTCCACACAGTACGGACAGGGAAAGTGGGTGACATGGGTACGCACAAACAGTAGCTGATAAGTGGACTCCCTTCAAAAAAACAATCGCTGCAAATATTTTTTTTTGGTAAAGGTGGTGGTGGTCAATGTAAATCTCAAAAAAAACTTTTAAATTTGATTATTTTGTGTTAGATAAATCGTTGTAATTCAATTTTTGTTGCTTTCTACGTGATAAGACAAACAATGTAAATAGTGCGCCAATAATGATCACAGCAACTATGAACAAGACCCCAAGCACAGCAACGCCCGTTGAAAGTAAAATAATTTGAGTTCTCTTTTTATCATCTTCATTAGCAATTTCGATCTCCATTGATTGTTTCACAAACCCTATTTTCAACCCAATACAGGCATTTCCTTTATACAAATCGACTATTTGTTTGTTGACAGTGAAGTTCTCAAAATAGCAGTCGGCGAAGTCAAAGTCAATGTTTTTAGCTGAATGTACATCATCTAAATAAAAAATGCAGTTCACAAAGTTGCACGACTCAAACACGACATTTTTATAATAATAAGAATGATAAAATGAGGTATTAACAAATGTCGAGTTGATATAGCGGACATTGTCATCATCTCGGTAATAAAACTTGGTGTTTTCAACAATTAGTCCCGATAAGACATTATTTGCTAATGTGAATTCACTGAAATGACTATTTTTAATTGTCAAATTGGAGAAAACAGATTCGTAAATATCTGTTGAACAAAAGTGGCAATTCTCAATGGAAGAGATATCGCGATATCCACTCGTCTTCACAGAACTAATTTTTAATGTTTCAAAAGAAGAATTATACAACACAATAGTTTTAAATGTAGATGTGTAAATAGTATTGTAAAAGTTATATGTTAAGAAATTTTTAAGCAACTCAAAAACAACATCAGAAAAATCACTATGATAAAAGCCTGTTTTGTTACTTGTGAACTGATTGAGTGTCAAATGAGATGTTTGTAACTGAGTAAACATCGAGTTGTAAAAAGTAGCTGATGTTGTATTATCAGGTAAAATGTAATCAAGGATCTCACCAACTGAATCGAAATATATCGAAGAAGTCATTTCATTAGGATTTGTAAAATTGAATTCTCCGATGAAGTTGCAGTTGGTGTAATTTTTATTTGTAGTTCCTTTAATAACTGTCAAATTATCTGCGCATGTGTATTGATAATAATATTGGTTTAAGTCTGTTGATCGTTGGGATAAAGCGAGAATTGAATAAAACAACGTGATGAGTGTAAAATACATGATAAAGTTTTTTAAAATTAAATTGTAGATTGGTATTTATATACAAGTGTTATTTGCTATAATGAATTGAAACCAAATTATATATTATAAACAACTATTGAACAACATAAATCCATTTATTTATGAATGACAAATTCGTCAATTAAAAATAAATAAATTTTAAAACCAAAATCCTATTATTAAAACTAAACATTTAAAAAAATAAAAAATAAAATATTATCAAATAAAAATTGTTCATTATAATAAGAGCCAATAATATTTTTTAAAATCAAACATTTTACTATTTAATTATAATTTTAATGTATCAAATTCAGATATAAAAAAGCACAATTTTTTTAAAAAACAACGCATGTAAAAATAAAAATCAATTTACTTGTCTAAAATGATATTTGTGTTTATTGGAAAAGCGTTTTCTTTGATTGTTTTGACTGTTTTTGGCACTTTAACATTGATCAATTTTTCGCACTTCAAAAAACAGGATCTTCCTATTGACTCCAATCTTGATGGCAAAACGAGAGTTTCCAGTTTTTCACACCCATAAAAACAGTCATCTTCTAACGAAGTCACTGTTTCTGGTAAATCTATTTTTACAAGTGATTTACAACAAGCAAAACACCCAAATGAAAGTGTATTGACCTTTAAATTTATTTCAGAAAAATGCACAAATCCACAATTGAAAAAACAAAAACGTCCAATGAAAGAAACACTTTTTGGAATGACTATCTTTGTAAGTGAAACACAATGAGAAAACACCCCTTCGTTTAAATAATCAAGTTGTTCTGGAAGTTCAATTTCCTCAAGTTTTTCACAATTATTAAAAGCAGCAATTCCCAAATAAGTGAGAGAAGATGAAAGTTCTATTTTAGAAAGTTGTTTGCAATTTTGAAAAGCCAACATTTCAATTTGTTTTAAATTTTCTGGCAAAACAATTGAAGTCAAAGAAATACAATTTGTGAAAGCACCTGCTCCTATTTTTCTAAGATTTTTAGACATTTTTATATCACAAAGATTTGTAAAACTGTTGAACGCCAATAATCCTAACATAGTTACATTGTCTGGAATTACAAAAGATCTGATTTGAAGCACTTTCGTGTTAATTTTAATAACATTTTGGTTATCACATGTCACATCATCATCATCATTCAAAGCGGCTATTCCACATTCATTATTTGGAATATTTGAACCATATTTATCAAAATCCGAACTTGTGTAACAAATTGTTTTAAACACAATATTTTGACCTTCAAATTCCTTTGCATAGTCGTAAGTGACTGGAAACCAAATCACAAATTTTGGAAGCGGTTTCTCTGATTTTAAATAGTAATTAAAAATGTCTTGAAACTCTTTGTGACTCCACACGTTGACTGTTTTGAGTGCTTTAAAATATTGAAAACACTCAAGAGGAAGATGTACATAATTTTCGTTCAAATCATATAAAATTTCTTTGTACTTTTTACACACCAAACTGATAGTTGCGAAGTCACCAGCTGTTTTAAAATATTTAGAAACAGTCACCATGTATTGTCTCTCTAGGTGACTAAAAAAGAAGAGTGGGTTAAAAAGAAAATTTTCATTTTGTCCGTCGTTCACTTCAAAATGTGATGTATTGGCTATACACACCGCCGCACCAAAATTGATAAAGTCGGCTTTACAACGTCCTACAAAATGCCCATTTAATGTGAAGAAAACAACATTCTGATTATTCCATGTTTTATATACACCACATCCAACTACATTTACTTTGTCGACTGAATTCACAAAATTGTCACCATCGCCATAGTCAATTTCATTACCATTTTTATATAAATATTCCGAATATAAGGACCAAATATTGCTGTGAAACCCAATTGAATATTTGTTTGATCCAATCGGTTCGTTTTGAAAATCAGCCCAATTGTCTTGATCAAATACGCCAACAGAAAAGTCGCCATAGCCAGCTTTCACCTCAAAATAGCGCACGTACTTGATCATACACATTTCATTATTGTACTTATAAAACATTGGAAGTTCACATTTTGAGTCCATAAAATCCCTTGAAATTGCAAGTGAATTGTTACTATCATTTCTCAATACAAATTTGTTGTTGTCAATAAAAAGGTTTGATGAAAAAGAAATAAAATAGTGTAGAATAAAACATTTTAAAAAATCATATGAGGAATAATAGTCAGTAATCCCACTAGTTGCAACTTTTCCATCATAGATGCACATAATTTTGGAACTACACTCCATAATTGTTTCCAATAATTCGTGTTTTTGGTCGTAAAAGATAATTTCATCACAACATAAAAAAACAACTCTCCGTTTGCTATAAAACATTTTTTTAATTGAAATACTCGATGAATAGATAAAGCTTGCAAAGGTCAGCATGTGTTCATCAAATTTTCCTCGGAATACAAGCAACTTTGACCATCTCACATACAACTCTGTCAGTTTTGGAAAAGTGGTTTTTTCATCGAATAACACATCACTACAGTTATCTATTTCTAAGATTTTGAGTGATAAAAAGTTGTTGGAAAATATAGTTTTATACACTTCGTGTAATTTCATTGTTTGTACGTACTTCACATCTACATTGTACTTAATTATATCGTTATTTGTAATATTAGTAGCAGTTAGTAAATATTCTGTGACACTTTTGGGTAATTCCCAAACGCTTTGTGAATT